ATTCCGCCGATCAACCACGGCACCGTTGTACGATCTTATTTTCAAGTTTTGCCATCGTATCCGCAAAAGGTAATCTTTCCCATTTGATTCTCTGGTTGCTTCTTCGTCCAGATCATCGCATCGTACTCCATTTTTCATAGCGCCGCGTGTCAACAAGAAGGTGGCGATCGGTTGACAGCTCTGCTCCTCTCCTAATGCGAACATCCATTACAGAGCGTCGTAAGTCAAACGTTATCAAACATTATCAGATCGGTCATCGACTCCTGTACACTCGCTTGCCTCTACCAGGTATACTGCTGGACTTAGCCAGCCCTGGTTATGTCACGGTCTGTGAAGTGAAACGCCTTGGCATCAAACTGTTTACCATCTGCTGTATTTGGAGCACTGAACCATTAATCATTCAAACAATTACGTATAAGTACTTTTATTCCTAATGTGTTTCGTTGGTCACTAAGGAAAATCGTTTTAAACGTGACTCGACGATGCGTACATTGACATGAAACTGGACGTCGATACTGACGAATCTTAAGGTAGCTTAAGTGTTAGACCTAACTCCAATCTGCAGCATGCTTTTTTCAGTAGAATTTGTCTGGAAAATGTGAGGAGATTCATCATCCGTACAGTGACATCTTTTGCCGACAGTTTTTAAGTTCATACAAAATTAGCGCTGACTAACAAGGCAGCCTAAAAATATGCATATCTTTATCTAATCGACTTCTATTATCCTCATGCATTTTTTTTTCTACGCATCAGTGTCGTCAACCGGAAAGGAAAACCCTGGACATGATTTAAACGAAAGCACGCGATTCGATGCCTGCGTAAAATGATATGAAACTTTGCTGAGTAACTGAAGATTAGGCGAATTATATACTAGCTTATGCAGATCTGAAACAAGTGACAAGTATCCTTCGTTATGGATTGATTTGTTTTAAACTTTCGAGAATATCCGTCGTTCTTTCAATGACTTTACTACATATTTAGTCCCCGTATCTTCTTCTTCTTAGCATGTTCCCTTTAACATGGGTTCGATAATCGAGTCAATCTTTTCCACATTTTTCTCTCTGCTTAATTCTTCGGTGACTCCTCATATTTTCATGACATAACGTCACTTTTTCTCCGGTCTTCCGCTTCTTTACTACGCTGGCAGTATCAGTGCTTGGGCCACATTTCCAACATCTCGACGGGTCTTCTTTTCACGTGACCGAACCAACGGAACCTCATTATTTCGATAAGCATTTCTGAAGTTGCTGCTACCCCTTCAGTGCCTCTTATGAAGGTGTTTCGAACATAGTTTCTTCTGCTGTCACGACACATTCGTCTGAGCATTCGCATTTTTACTGAATTCGGCTGTTGCTCGTGTCTCTTCAGGGTAGCCAAGCATTCCCCTGTGTGCAGAAGCACCGGTTTTACTATCGTTCTGTACGCCCTCTCTTTCAGTCTGATGGGCATCTTCTTATCGGACAATACTCCGTTCACTTTTTTCCATTTGACCAATTCTTTTTTCGACCGATTTCTTACCTCGCTGTCGATTTCCGCCTTATCTTGCAAGAAGGAACCAAGGGCAGTTAAATTCTTGGGTTTGAGGCATCAAGCTTCCCGCTATTTTCAAACTGTTTTCTCCACCACGCATTTTGACTTGCCTTTGCTAAACTGATGACCGTTCTTCTCAGGGGGCTGTTTCATATGCCTCGCTTTTTGCTTTAATGCTGCACAGCACAACGTAAGCTACAAAGAGGATGCATTATGGGCTGCTTTCTGCAGATTCCGTCACCATCGAGAACAGCAGCGGTTTCAGTGCAAATCTTTTGTGGACTCCTACCCGCAGAGGGAATTCTGTCGTTCGGTCACACGTGTAATTCGGTCTATCGCTGTCTCTTTGTTGTACGTGTATTTAGTAAACCTGACATATTTTTGGCACAAGCTTCTTTTTCATGCTCCACCACACTGTTTGCCTGGGGAATTGGTCAAATCCTTTCTCCAAATCTACGAACACCCTGTGAACGTCCTGTCTGCCTTCTCTGGAGTTTTAGAGAACTGATCTTAAAACGAAAATCACATCCGTGGTTGACCTGCCTGGCATAAAGCCAAATCGGTTGGTGCTGATGTTAACCTACGTCCTCAGTCTTCTGTACAGCACCCTCTGATATATCTTCATGGTGTGACTAAGCAGTTTAATTCCCGGTAGTTTCCGCAGGCGACTGTGTCTCCTTTCATTTCATGCATTGACATCAAAATTCTCTGCGTCCATGACTCTGGCATTTTCTAACATTCCATAATTTTGTTGAATAGAGCTCAAAGTTGAACCACCTGCTTCTATGGGAACTCCGCCTAGGCTTAGGGATATTTATTTTCATTCGGTTCAGGGCTTGCTCCTCTTCATCGCATGAGATATTTTTTACTAGGCCCTGGTTTTGGCAATCGCTTCCGCGACCTCTCTGGGATGTTCTTTGTTTAGTAGTGTTTCGAAATACCCTCGCCATCGGTTTCAAATATTTTTCTCATCGGTCAGCACCATTCCGCTTTCATCTTTTATGCACTTCACACCTCTTGTTCTACTTTCTCTGGCTTTTTCTATGCGATAGCTTCCTTTCTCCCCTTCCTGTGTTGCCAGTTTTTCGTATAGGCTCTTGCACGCTGTAGACTTTCATTAGGCGACAACTTTTTCTGCATCCCTCTTTGATATGGCATATGTCACTCTGTCTTCCACACTGTTTGACTGCTGTCATTTCTTGAATGACTCTTTCTTCTGTGTTACAATCGCCTGCACGTCCGCATTTCACCATCACATTTGTTTCTGGATATGTATTGTGCCTTTTGTTTCTCCGACTAAACCTCTGGCAATCCCTATGATTGTGCTGGCCATCAACTCCCGTACTTCGTCCACTTTCCTGATGAAGTCTTCCTTCCTCATTTTTTTCATAACTTCCATTTTGATTGCTTCTTTCAGCTTCCCTTCGACTTCCCTTCAACCTTCCACCACTGCATCTTTCGGGCTGCCACCATGCCCACTATCTTGAATGGGCTGTTTCAGACAGAGGTCTATGACCACTAGCTGGCACCGCCTTGTAACTCTTTCCTCGGGGATAACCTTGCACTGTCTGACGTTCTTAAGTTCTTCCCTTCAGAGCAGAGAGTAGTCGTAAGTTAGCAGGTGGTTTTCTCTTTTCTAGAAGAACGTATTTATCAGCGCTAGATCATATGCATCTGCCACCTGCAAGATATTCTCTCCTTCATTATTTAACATACCATATCCGGCATGGATCCCGTTGCAATCCCTTCGATGTTTCCTGACGTGCCCATTAAGTTCAGCTAAGATTATCGCTTTTTCGTTTGGCGGTATTTTTTTGCAGCGCAATGTCTAGGCTCTCCCAGAATGTGCACCTTTCGGCTTCTTTCTGGTCAATCTTGGGGGGAGGCACTTATTATACCTAAGATAGCACTTTGCAAAGTCAGCTAAACGCCCATGATTCTGTCGTTGATTCGGTTGACTTCGAATGCCCTCTTTTTGAACGCTTCATTCAGTACCACTGCGACTCCATTTCTTACGCTTAGTGTTCCACAGTGAATCAGTTTATAGCCTAGTCCGATCTCTTTCGACTTCTCGTCTTTCCATTTCGTCTCCTGAATACAAGCGATCTGAACTTTACTACTTTCAAGAGCTCCCGCGTCGTATTTAATTCCCATTTGCTGTCCAATATTTCAGTCTCTCTTTTATCTCCTTGAGACTGGCAGAAGAACTGACTTGGCGAAAGATGCTAGACTCCAGGCAATCGCTGATGAAATATCATCGTTACTTGCGTTGCGGCCGAATGATCACGTTGTATTTCAACTCGGTGTGCAATTCAGCACTTTATTCATAAATACTTAATCATTGATCGCCGATGTCTTAAGTTTGTCTGGACATCGTAACTGCATTATGCTGTCGAAGTGCAACAGCGGAGTTCCTCTCGCGAAGATCTCTAGCAAACAGGTTATGGGATCATACGGTAGGGCGAAAAACGCCAACGTCATCCGTCATACTCCTTTCAGAAGAGAGACGATACCTTTAAATAGATCTAAACAACGCTTCCCGGTTTATATCCTTCTTAAACATTCAAATTACCTGAATAGTAATAAGATAGTTTACTCTGGATTTTTTGATATTATGCATCAAATATTTTTTTGGGATCTTCGCTCATGTTTCTCATGAACCCACCATCCACTCCTTTCGCTGAAGACGTAGACCGCATGATGAAAGGTCGTTCCCAATTCCTTGGCTGCAAGTAATGCAGATGGTGGCTCCCAGTCCTTCGGTCCTGAATTGTAGTCTGATTATTCTGCTTCAGTACAGATTTGCCGG